AGGGAGAAGGAGGGAGGGAGAGAGCAGAGGGGAGAGGGGGAAAGGGAAAGAGAGAGTATGTGGTATCTGACTTAGTTGCTGACCTTTACCACACACCTAACTCTGCCTTAGTTTCCTCATCTCTGAACGGGGATAATCACTCAGGCTAGCACAGGTTTTCAACAGTGTCTCTCTCGTGTCAGTGGCTCTCCACATTCACATCCAGCTAAATGTCCAAGGGTCCTCCAAGAACCACTCCCTGGAACTTTAGCATCCCTTTCATATCCCTATTCTGTCTCTTCTATTTCCACAAGTAAAAATGAATGTGTTTAAGCAGGCATGTCTTCATCAGGGAGACACTGCCATAGAAGGGGCAATGCCTCTACCATCTGTCCATTCGAAGTGGTCCTTCTGACGCTCTGAGGAAAAAGTGGGGCTGCGCAGAGGCAGCGGCATTGTCAAACACACCCAGCTGCTCAGTATACACTGTCTACAAACACTGGAGGCTCAACGGATTTTTTTATTCTCAAGTACAGCTCCTCCCCAACTCAGATTTTAGAAGCCAGCAGCAATCGGCCTACCTTCACCTGCTTATGGCTTCAGAAAACTCAGAGACTTTTCTGGAGCCCAAGGTGGCACAAAAAGGAAATTTCATACTTGAAGACAGATAGAATTTGGTTAAAACTATTGACTTTAAAACACGAGAAGCATAGATTTAGTCTTGACATGTTTTTATGGTTTGGGGGAAGGCTTAGATTAATGGCAGAAAGAGTTTTTAACCCTAACAACTTGCAGAGTCTCCTTAAATATCAAGTTTAATTTTTGGGACCATATTACTGAATGATTGCATTATTAATACCAAGATGATAGCAGGAAAGTTGGGGCCTGAAAGTGTGGTTCAGCAGGCAGAGTTCTGGCCTAGTGTGCATGGAACTCTGGGTTCCAGCCCGATCCCACATTCCTCCCTTAGGAGGTGGAGACAGGAGGATCAGAAGTTCAAGGTCATCCTTGACTACATAGCAACATGGGAGCCAACCTACATGAGACCCTTAGTTTCAAAACAACAGCAAAAAAACTATTGCAATAAACATTTAAGAAAATAGCTAAGGAGTCAAGTGTCATCAGCAAACCGCTGTGGAGTTTTATTCTGCTCCAAGCATATGTGTGTCTCTCTCTAGGTGAGTACATGCCTATATACGGTATAGGTATGTGTATGGGAGTGTATGCATTTGTCTGTACATGAGTAGAGCTCATGTGTTGGGTGTCTTTCTCCACTGCTGTCAGCTTATTTGGGGGGACCCTATCTCACTACTATCATTTATCTACTGGCTCAGGTTACAATTCCAAACTCAGTGATTATAGCTAGGTAGTTGAAAATGAAGGGCAAAGCTGCTTTTGTGTTTTATTGTATTATTGTGGTTTTTTTGAGACAGGGTCTCTTACCGAACCTCTCACTACTTCAGCTAGACTGGCTGTCCATCAGTCCCCTAGGACCATGCTAGAGCAACAAGTATGTGCTGCCATGCTCGGCTTTTATTTGTGGACTGAGCATCAGTGGGGCTCAAAACTGCCAATAAAGTTGGCACCTTCCTGACTGAGCTCCAACCCCCTTCCAAGAATATTTTACACAATTTGGCTTTCTCAGGAGAAAACTAAGTAATTCTTGCTCCTGTACAATTAAAAATCAGACAAATTTAAGTTTGGTGCGGTGGTGCATGCCTGTAATCCCAGCACTTGGGGAGGATGAGGCAGGCAGATCTCTGTGAGTTCGAGGCTAACCTGGTCTACAAAGTGAGTCCAGGATAGCTAAAGCTACACAGAGAAACCCAGTCTCAAAAAACCAAACAGACAAAATAATAAAAAAAAAAAAAAGAGCGAGAAAAGAAAGAAAAAAAGAAATCAGGGAAATTCATTGCACTGGACACAGAATATCCACCAAGGACAGTCAGGGACAGCCCAAATCCCACATCCACGATTTTGATATACAACAGAGCTGCTGTCTACAGTATTTTCTTATTTTGCATTTTCTGAGGGTAGCTTTTAAGATATAAACTCATCTTCTCCTGATTGTGAAAGTTACAGATGGCAAAGGCAAGGCAGAGTTAGTACGTCTGCAGCAATCCCACCCCAGGGAGGGGGAAAGCCACAGTTCTTCCCGGCACATTTATGAGAACACAGCCAATTAACTTTAGGATTCATGCTACAAAAGCTCCGTGCTTTTGAAATGAGTGTGAGCCTGGCACGCAGTGGTAACGATGTTTCTCTTACTATATGTCTGTCTCCCTGCTGTTAAAGTCGATACAGCTCTGTCAGCAGCAGAATGGGATCAGTGCCACAGCTGTGCTAGCATTAATATAGTAATTTACACACTGATTTTGTTATAGGATGAACGCATATACCCTGGTAAAAGGTAAGGGTTGTCTGTAAAGGGGTGATGGGATAGCAGCAAGGGAAGGGGCTGATTTTTCACTGTGAATTTGTGAATTCAAACGTCATCATCTCAATTAAGTGAAGGGTAATGCTACATATTGTCATAAGGTAAGGATAAATATCAAGTGTATTTGTGTTTGTCCCTAGCGAAAGGGGGAGCAAAGAGGAATGGGCCCCAGGAAAGGAGGGTTAATTCTCTGAAAAAGAAAACCACCCATAATATAACAAATATTAATGTTTGTTAATGACGAATCGTGTGTATGAGGACACAGTAGTCAGCGTGTAATGCCGGAATTAAGATTTGCTCAAATCACAATATCTCATAGAGTCTACCACAGACCCATCATGGCTGCAGACCTTAAAGCTTCATCAAGCCCTAGGGCGGATGCAGAGCACCTGGCATGCTAATGCAAGGAGAGCAAAATGATGAAACCTCTTTGGAAAACGGTCTGTGAGTTTCTTATAAAACCAAAGAGTACGTACCTTAGAAGGCTGCGATGTATTTGTGGATATTTGCTTAGCAAAAGTGAGCATAACAAAAGTTGATGGAAAAACTCAGACAACAGGCTCACAGCAGTTTTATTAATGAGGTAGAAAGAGCCTGGATGTCTACCAATAAAATACTACATAAGCAGACTGGCATATCTGTCCAGTGAAAAACTATTCAGAAATAAAAAGAAAGGCTATTGATCCATGAAACACACTGTGGGGAGAGAGGAAGAGGGAGAGGGAGAGAGAGAGAGAGAGAGAGAGAGAGAGAGAGAGAACACTTTCACAGGAAGGTTTCTGTCCTCTGTAATTTTAGCCATATAAGGCACCAGAAGAGCACTACAAATCTGTCATAGAAAAAATCAGAGCGATGGGCACTGAAGTGGGGCTGTGTGAAGGGTGGGGATGGCTGAGGAGCGCGGGGTACTTCTCTAGAGTAGCTGTGACGGGCATGGAGGTTACACAGGTAGACAGATTTGCTAAAACATAATCAACATTGACCTTAGGATAAGCATTTCTTAAGCATGAGACCTCGGGTTTGATCACCAGACCACAAAAGGCTGCACAGTCATAAACGAATTCCGCCTCAGGAAGCGGGTACTGGACATTAGTTAATGTGTGTGTGAGTGAAGTGTATCCGCCTCTACAACGAACCCAAGATGCTTCCAAAAAATAAAGAGAGGATAGATATGTGACAAAACACAAACATTAATAATATTTAGATGATGGCATGAAATTATTTTAGATTTTCTGTGTGTTTGACATTTAAAAGGGTTTTTTTTTTTGACATTATAATATAATGACATTTTTCCCTTCTCTTCCCTCCCTTCCGTAAATTGTTGGAAACAGCTACAGCACAGTGTAATTAAGCTGCACACGTTTTTGCACAGCAGGATCTCTTTGTCAGTTGGCCTATTCTATCCTCCTTAAGTATTTTGATTTTTTTTTATACAATTTCGACGGGGGCTGGAGAGATGGCTCAGTGGTTAAGAGCACTAACTACTCTTGCAGAGGACCAGGGTTCTATTCCCAACACATACAGCAGCACATAACCTCTGTGACTTTTATCCCAGGATATCTAAACCGTCTTCTGACCTCTGCGAGTATCGACACGCAGACCAAACACTCGTGAACGTAAAAATAATTTTAAACAAAGCGTTAAAGCCTGAGATAGAAGAGACCACGATTGCTTACTGTGCTTCCTGAGCTGCGCACTGAGCATAGGATTTGTGGTTGCCAGGCTCCCTCCGACCCACTGTACTCAGTTCAGCTCATCCTAAACTAAAGAGATCCTGCAGCAGATGAAGACCACAGTGCCATCTTTCCTCCTTCCCTCAGGTGAGTGCTACCCTCCACCCTCTAAGGGCCCCAAGACCCAAGACTGAGGGTCGCTCGAGCGGGTAATGGGAACTCTAATTTCCAGCACAACCAAAGGAGTTCAGTGGCTCGGCATAGCGCCTGCACCTCTGTTATTAGTCACGCTGCGGCCTCGGCTACAGGCCATCTCTCCCTGGGCATTTGAGTAGCTGTCACCAAGGACCGTTATCAAAGGATTGCTTGCAGTGAGGAACAGAATTCTGTCAGTCGGCATATCATGATCAAAATACTTCAGCAACCTAATACTTGATCAATACTAACAGCAACCTGTAACCGTAGATTTTAAATACGAACCACTTTTCTATCTTTTAATATTAAACTATATATTGGGTATATCCCTACAAACAAATGCATATAGGTTTGTCTACCTTGTGTTTCTAATATTTTGTTTACGAGCATTTTGGCACAGTAATTATCAAAGCAGATGAATTAAGATCAAGGACTTTTCCCAAATATAGCACCTCAATGTCACTACACAAAATTCTCGAGGCAATGCACACTTTTTGTGTGCATTGTTAAGGTGGGTCAAAACCCAGGGCACGAAATAATATTGCTTATTAGATTCTGATTTACAAAAAAATTGAATGACTAGCTTTTTTTGTAAAATCATAGAAGTTCATTCCAATATTGCAGAATCTGCAATAATGTATAATTAAAAAGAAAACCTGACAAGACAAACTTTGGGGTAGGTAAATTACTGAATCTCCGTCTTTCATCATCCTTACCTCATTTGGTGGAATGTCGGCGAAGGGTTTGATGACAGCAGCCAGTGGGATTTGAGCCTGCTTGGCCATGTCTGACGTGCACGGAAAGCAGTATGCGGTGCAGCGAATGTACCGGGGGCTCGAGTGGCCTGAATCATTCAAAGTCACACACACAAAACTTGGTTAGAACACGTATCGGGCCTAAGATACCTGAACAAGAGTACAGTTTATCTACACAATTCATTCTTAGCTATAATCTCTTTCTTTATTTCTAAAAACATGTAATATTGTAAAATTCTGCAATCTACATCTCAGGGACATACATAAGGCTACTGGATTTTTCTAGAAATGTTTTATTACTATTATTATTTTCTGTAAACTGGATTTTATGTTTCTTAAGACTATTTATTTATTTTGTATACAATGTTCTGCCTGCATGTATGCCTGCTGGCCAGAAGAGGGCACCAGGTCTTATAATAGACAGTTATGAGGTATTGTATGGATGTTGGGAATTGAAGTCAGGGCCTCTGGAAGAGCAGCCAGTGCTGTTAACCTCTGACCCATGTCTCCAGCCTACCTAAAATGGGTTTTAATGTAATCCAAATATAGACTTGAGAGTGTTCAGTGTTAGTGGAAGACACAAAACAAAGAGACATAAATAACAATTGTGAAAAAAAATATAGTTTTAGGCTCACAGTCACTTCTTTTTATTAAGGTTTATTTTTAGTTTTGTTTATGGAAGGGTCTGTCTGATGGGGTATGGGGGGGTATTGCACTTGTGTGCAGGTGCCCATGGAAGGAGGACACTAGATCTCCAGGAGCCAGAGTTACAGCCTGCTGCGAGCTGCCTAACATGGGTGCTAGGAACTGCAATTGGGTCCTCTGGAAGAGCAGCCATTTCTTCAGTCCAACACCACTTTTTTGTTCCCATGTCTACCTCTGCCATGGGCATGTAAGTATCTATCCATTTTATACTATCAAACGAGACCTTGTCAAATATAATTTCAATTTACTAATTTTTTCCTGAGTTTGTAAACTGAATTTATAAATTAAAATTCTACTTGTAATAGAAATGTTACCTTTAAAACCATCCTAATCACTTTTTAGTACACACTAGATTTCCTGAGCAAATGCCTTTATTGTATGGCACACAGGAGAGCTAAAATAACACCCATATCATGAGAAACATTTCACTCATTAGAATGTTTTAATTTTTTTTTGTCCGCAAAGATAGCATCTTTAAGAAATTGTGTTGGGAATACTGGATAGTAATTGGTAGGAGAACCCTTCTTTCTCACCCCGAACACAAATCACTTTCCAATGGATCAAAGATCTCAACATTATTCCCAAAACTCTGTAACTTCTAGAGCAAAGACTAGGGAGTGCCCTGCAGGATTTAGGCTCAGGTAAGGACTTTCTGAATAGAACTTCAGTCACGCATAAAATAGGACCAATGATGAGGTGCAGCTTCATGAAATTAAAAAGCTTCTGTACAGCAAAGGAAACTGTTAATCAACTGACGAGGAAACAGCCTATACAATGGGGAAAATCTTTGCCAGCTACACATCCGACAGAGTAGTATTGTCTATAATATACAAAAACTCAAAAAGCAAACTACAAAAAAAAAATCCAATCAAGTTAAAATTTGGCTATGGAACTGAATAGAGATTTCTCAGAAGAAAAAAAATACAAACTGCTGAGGAATACAAGTACTCACCATCCTTAGCCATCATGAAAATGCAAATTAAAACTACTTTGATGTTTCATCTTAATTAATTCATAATGGCTAAGATGAAGAAACTATAAAACCACAAATTCTGGTGAGGGTGTGGGGAAAGGGGAACCCTCAGGTACTGTTGGTTGGACTGGCACAAGCTACTATGGAAATTATTGTGGCAACTTCCTTGACCCAGCTATTCCACTCCTGGGCACATACCCACTATGGAGATGCACACTCACCCATACGCAGAGCTACTCTATTCACAATAGCTAGGACATGGAAACAACTTAAATGTCCATCAACTCTTGAATGGATAATGAAAATACAATACCTATACACAACAGAATTTCATTCAGCCATAAAGAATTCATGAAATTTGCAAGTAAGTGGATGTAACTGGAAAACATACTGAGTGAGGCAACCCAGATCCATGAAGATAAACATCATGTGTTCTCTCTCATATGGATCTTAGGGTTGACACTTTAGATTTATATTCTTATCTTATCTTGGCAGTACTTGTTAGAATCCAGGGAACTAGAAAGTAACCACTGGTGGGGAGAGAGAATATCATTATTATTATTGTTATTATTATTATTGCTTCCATCAGATTGCCTATAGGCAAGGCTACAGGGCATTTTCTTGACCAAGGATTGATGCAGGAAAGGCTGGTTCACTGGATGTAGTGCCATTCTGGGTGGTTATAACGAAGCAGGCTGATCAAGCCATGTGGAGTAAGCAGCTTCCTCCACAGTCTCTGCTTCAGTTCCTGCCTCTACATGCCTACTCTACTTGAGTTCCTGCTCTAGATTCCCTTCATGATGGACTGTGCTATGGAAGTGTAACTAAATAAACCATTTCATTCCCAGATTGGTTTTGGTCACGGTTTTTATCAAAGTAATAGCAAGCAAACTGGAACAGAGAAGAATGACCTCAACGGATACGGGACAGCAAAACACAACTGATGAGAAAAGGAAAAGGGAATGATGGGGAGAGAAGTTTAAGCACGCAGAGGGATGGGGCAGAGGAAATTAACACTAAGGATGTTTGGAAAAACCATATTGAAAACCTCTCTTGGAAAAGCTTCATAATTTTTCTTATAAAAAAATTGGAGTTATCTGCACAAATAACATTCCTCCCAAAAGCCTTAGGTTGACAAATAAAAAGGCGCCTATTGTCACTGTTCTTGGCTTCCCACCTGAACTTGATGGTATAATCCCACTGTTCAATATACCACATGCTTGGCTTACACATGTGGAGAAATAAAGTTAGTACCAACCAGGAAGCTTCCTCCCTATTGGCTAGCTTTCACTGTACCAGAAGGTACTCCTTGGGCTGCTTTGCGGAAAAGTTATCAACAATCCTACCCAAGGCTCAGGAACACTGCAGAAAAAGGGGCAGAAAGATTATAAGAGTCAAAATTTGGTTGGGAGGATCTAAGTAAAGCTATTTTCTGGACGTGGCAGGACTACTGCAAGCACGGACTCACAGCAGAGGTGTTTGCCTGCAGATGATCTACACAAGATCAGTCCACTCAACTGTGGCTCTACTGAGCTACTGTAACAAGCGGTCATGGATTATAGAAACAAAAATAACTCTATTATCTTGGCCATTGCAACATGACAAATGCTACGAAAAAGAAGCCTCTTTGGATAAGGAGTACCTGAGAGTAGGAGGCCGATTGAAATTTTAAATACTTGCAGGGTCAGCCTCAACAAAAAGGTAGTGTTTGAGCAGACACAAAGGAGACAAGGACTTCACTCAAGCTGATTCACATAGGAAGCCTAACAGAGGAAGAGCAGAAATGTTTAGACGGGGGTGCAGCTGCTGAGCTGAGCTTGGAGGGTGTACAAGCCAGATCCTGCAGATTCTTGAAGCTCATTAAGCCCTTGAGGTTTTACAAATGAAATGGAGCACCACTGCCGTGTTTGCGGAGAGGAGTGTCATGACCTGACTTGGGTCTCCCTGGCTGCGGTGAGGAGAATGGCTGCAAAGGAGGCCCAGAGCCAGGAAAGCGCATGAGGAGGGGCCAAGGGAAATACAGTAGTGGCCCAGACCAGCCCCATAGTGAGGGTGCATGGAGTGACAGAAAGATGGTGTGCACGTGTTGATGCAATGACACAAATGTCTGCAGTGATGAGGTATGTCTGAGGAAGGAGAACAATGTGAAATTGCCAGCACCGAAAATTGAAAGGCTGCGAGGAACAAGGAAGGGACCAGTTTTCAAAGGGTGTGTGGGTGGAGGTCACAACTGGGCCACAGCATGTCCAGTCTGGTGGATGTATTGGGCAGTCACTACATTAGGTGTGAGTGCTACAGCCACACAGCAGTAGGTGGGCGTTGAGTCCAAGATGGCTATGTACCTTTAGGAGCTCTGAGCAGAGCTGGCACATGGAAGTAGGCTAAAGTCACTACAGCAATGACCGTGGCCAAAGGGAAGATGAGCGAGGACTTCCAAGCCTGAGGGCAAGAGTTCAGACCCCAGGACCCAAGGAAATGGAAGGAATTCCCAGAAATTGTCCTGTGACCTCCACATGCGCTCAATGTCACACTCACACACATGCACACACATACAGGACATACACATGCATGCACACATACATACACACAAAAAGGGAGGAAGGTAAAAGGGAGGGAAGGAAGGAAGGAAGGAAGGAAGGAAGGAAGGAAGGAAGGAAGGAAGGAAGGAAGGAATGAAGGAAGGAAGATGGCAGGCAGGAAGGAAAGACTAGTAAAAAACATTTTCAAATGAGTGAGAATCCAGGGCCCTAACTGAGAAGTGAGGGGGGTCCATCAAGAAAGAAGCATATGGTCACCTATACCCTATGGTGCTGCTGGACGAACGCGACCACTTGGTTCAGCAATCCAGATGGAGACCGTAAAGAAATCTGCAAATAGCTTAAACCACAATACTTCCTCAAAGCATTAAATAAAACTGACGGATGTAAAAAATGCTCATGCAGAACTAAGAGTCTGGAACAAAACTGTTGCTTTTGTATATTCACAAGAGTAGAAAAAACTATCACACAGCACGTCATAAACTTTTACAAACATGAACTCACTATGTACTTTTTTTATACAGCATTCTGCCTGCATGTGTGCCTGTGTACCAAATTTACTATAGATGGTTGTGAGCCATCGTGTGGTTGCTTGGAATTGAACTCAGGACTTTTGGAAGAATAGCCGGTGTGCTTGCCCTCTGAGCCATCTCTCCAGTCCCCCACTATGTACTTTTGATGATTGTGTAAAGAATAAGGAACAAAGAAAATCAGTCTAGAGCGGTAAGTGAAGTGACTTAATTTATAATGAATGTCTGACGACAGGAGGAGAAGACTGGGTTCTGGATGGCTTGACTACTCTGAGTGAGATAAAGGGTGATACCACATTTTCAGCATAGAGTACACAGCCACTAAAATCTATGTTCTGACTTCCCCAGGCCTCTTTCGTGTTGATTTTGGTGCTGAGCATCGAACCCAGGGCCTCATGCACGCCGGCCACAGCTCCATCACTGCCCTGCAGCCCTGAGCCCATCGGGTTACATATTGATTTGACAGGAACAACAGGAAAAGGATCTGCGTGCAGCTCAACGGGCAGATTAAAATGAGAGAGGGCTTTCTGCTTCTGGGTTACCTCACTCAAGATGATCTTTTCTAGTTTCCACCATTTGCCTGCAAATTTCATGGTTTCCTTGTTTTTAATTGCTGAGTAGCATTCCATTGTATAAATGTATCTATTCCTCAATTGAGAGACATCTGGGTTGTTTCCAGATTCTGGATATTACAAATAAAGCTGTTACAAACATGGCTGAGCAAATGTCCTTGTTGTACACTTGAGCATATTTTGGCTATAGGCCTAGGAGTGGTATTGCTGGATCTTGAGGAAGCGCTATTCCTAACTGTCTGAAAAAGTGCCAGATTGATTTCCACAGTGGTTACACAAGTTTACATTTCCACCAGGAATGGAGGAGGGTTCCCCTTTCTCCACAATCTCTCCAGCATGTGTTGTCACTTGTGTTTTTGATCTTAACCATTCTGATGCTGTGAGGTGAAATCTCAGGGCCATTTTTATTTGCATTTTCCTGATGATGTTGCGCATTTCTTTAATGGTATATACTTACTTATAAGCGGATATTAGACATATAATATAGAATACTAAAATCTGTACACCTAAAGAAGCTAAGCAAGAAGGACCCTGGGCAAGATGCTCAATCCTCATTCAGAAAGGCAAATGGGATAGACATCAGAAGAGGAAGAAAACAGGGAACAGGACAGGAACCTACCACAGAGGGCCTCGGAAAGACTCTGTCCTGCAGGGTATTAACGCAGATGCTGAGACTCATAGCCAAACTCTGGGCAGAGTGCAGGGAATCTTATGAAAGAAGGGGGAGATAGAAAGACCTGGAGGGATCAGGAGCTCCACAAGGAGAGCAACAGAACCAAAATATCCGGGCCCAGGGGTCTTTTCTGAGACTGATACTCCAACCAAGGACCATGCATGGAGATAACCTAGAATCCCTGCACAAATATAGCCCATGGCAGCTTAAGGGGAACAGGGACTGTCTCTGACATGAACTCAGTGTCTGGCTCTTTGATCACCTCCCTCTGAGGGGGGAGCAGCCTGCCAAGCCACAGAGGAAGACAATGTAGTCAGTCCTGATGAGAGCTGATAGGCTAGGGTCAGATGGAAGGGGAGGAGGACGTCCCCTATCAGTGGACTTGGGAAGGGGCCTGGGAGGAGAAGAGGAAGAGAGGGTGGAATTGGGAGGGGAGGAGGGGATACATAGTGAATTGATTGTAATAAATTAAAAAAGTTTAAAAATGAGAGAGGGCACTGGCTGTGTCAGGAGGGGCGGGGATCAGTTCCCGCTTATTCCACTTAAGGTGAGGAGCAAAAAGCAGAATGTTAGGGGACCTGCTGAAAACTGTATCCCCAGGCCACAACAGGTGAGCTGATTGACAAGAGCTTAGCCTCTCTATTCAGCTCACCATGCCCAGCATGCTGCCCAAATTCAACCCAAGCAGGGGATGAATTACCTTAAACTATAAATCAGAATTACCTTAAACTATAAATCAGAATTTGAAATTGTTTTAAACAGATACACTGTATTGTAGACCACTTGAAGTTCTCTGGACTGCTACAGCAGAGAATACTGTTGACAGCACCTTCTGGGTCTTTAGGGACTAATAGGGAATTGGTCTATTCTCTGCTCTAATGAGGCTGCCTGTCAATTACAGTATTGATGAATGGGGTCAGGGTATTTTGTTTTTGAAACAGTAAGAAATTTTAAAACAAAATATAACAACCACAGAAGTCACTAAAAATAAATACCTTGGTCTTGAATCACACACTGTGTGGTGACCAGGGGAGGCACCTGGCCTCTGCTGTTGGTAGTGTAGACTTGTCCGCCTCGGGTGGCCCTGTCATTCTCGATCACTTGAATCTGACAAAGAAGATGTTAAGACTGAATTAAACAAAGTTACAGCTCTTCCTGACACACAGCTAAAAGGGACAGCGACTTGTTCTTGTTCCCTCTTCCTTCTCTAAAGAAGGGGGAGGTAGGGGAGAAAAGGGGAGAGGATGGAAAGGAAGAGAGAAGGGGGAAGGAGAAATGGGGAAAAGAGAGGGGGTCTTTAAAAATCCTTTTTATTTCTTTTCAGGTAAATCAATCTGCCATGCCTTCAGTTTCACCTTCGCTTAATTTCATAATTTTAGATCAATATTTACCAATTTTCCAAATTCTATTCTGTAATACTCTTAGCTCAGACCCTAACCCTTCAGAGACTCTTACTTCACTTAACTACATTTTATCTCATTTATTATAACTATGGATGAGCATTTGAAAAATACTTTAGAAAGAAATTTGAAACTTTTAAAAAATACTTTTTGTAATTAAAACTCTAAAAATCTTTAATTAGAAAAGAAATGGTATACAAGTTCCATGCTAAAGATGCCTACCTTCTACTCAGAATCCATCTTCTTTCTCAGCTTGCTTTTCAAGTCCTCCCTCCCCCACAGCAGAGAACAGACACTATCTTGGGGTGAGGGTGTCTACTGTTTAGAAATCATCAGGAGCAAGGGTCCCCAAATGTCCCCATCTAACTTACAAACATTTCTATGCTAATAATATTTGCAGATGAAGATTACAACGGATTTTTTTTCTTTTTGTTATAACTGTCCAGGGTTAAAAATTGTGAGCAAAACTGAATAGAATGAAGTTACAGAAACAGGAAGTAATCCTAGGGACTGACTTCCTGTTTCCTCCTTTTCCACTCCAGTTTCACACTTTCTACAGAAAAGAGGTGGGAGAAGAGATCAAAGAAAACAAAAACCAGATAAAACCAAAGAACGCAGTGATAAGAAGTATCTAGGCTGGGATAAGAATAAACAGATACAGTTTTCCATTGCTAATATGAACGCTGACTTTGGACCAACTCTGAAGTATTCTCTTCTGCTCCAGTCTCCAGAGCAGATGGTGCTGGCATCATGGGTTCTAAGAATACTGGCAACCAACCTAGTCTGAATTTAATCCTGTTATCTGCCTGCCGTCTGGCTTCCTCAGAGTTTGAGTAGTTACAAACACAAAGATAGAGGAGGTGTTCCAGACATCACTACCAAGACACAGACAAGATGCTCCCATGAACAAGAAGTGCACAGAAACGTCAAAACATTGTAGTTATACCCTGGATTCAACCACAAAGCTAATCAGGTTACTCAAAATAAGAGTAGCTTTTACATTATTAAACATTAACATTTAGCATAATCATTTTAACCAACGAAGTCTAAGATGAACACTATCATGACATAGTCATATGCCTAATACACTGAACCTACACAGTCACTAATCAGGAGACCACAGTCCCAAAAATTCCTATTCCAAACTATCCATTTCCAATTTGCAAAGCTCTGCCCCCAAAGAAACAATGTTGTAATTAGTCATTATTAATTAAATCCACATCTTGTCAGAACAACACATAGAAAAGAGTAAGAAACATCAAGCCGCTCCAGCCGTGTTAAAAACAGCTTTTGATTTACCCCAAACGCATGCTCTTGAAAAACAGCATTAGAAATGACAGTAAGCAAAAACTCCAACAGGGACTCAGCTGTGACTCCCATGGGTGCGCTGAGATGTATCACAGTGGCATGTGATGAGAGGGTGTCCAAGCTCCCTCGGGGGACACAGATCCCCCTCCCCTCTCAGATGTGCCACTGGAGTCATTTCCAGGGGTGCTGTGGAACCATGAAACATAATCGGGAAAGAACACTGAGGAAGTGCTGCTCTTGAGGTATATGAGGAGGAGAATCAAGTTAAGAGGTGCGGTCACAGACGAAGGGACTGTTCGAACTGCTGGTGGTGGAAGGAAAAGAGGAAGGACACAACTCCCCTATGGATGCAGAAGAGGGTGAGCGAGGGCTTCAGGGATGGTGTTTCCATCACGTCAAAACACAGCAAAAACCACCAGTCAAAGGAATGCTGTATTAAGGGCCTCACTCAGGAGTAGAGTATAGAATCTTTCTTTCTAGAAGAAAGAGTTTATTTCATTAAAAAAAAAAAAAAGTTGTTTTCATGTTAGAAAAACAAACAGGCTCCATCTGGCACTGCTATGTCTTTACTTCAAGATAAAAAAACATTGGGCTGATTTGCACACACGTACACTCACAGCTGCTGCTGCTTCTCATTAACGCTCAACCAACGCTCAGCAGGAGCAGCAGGCTTTCTTACATGCTGGAGACAGAACTGGACGGACTAGATCCTTGCCCCGTAAAGCAGACGTTCAAGTGTAGAAGAACGCTGGAAGATAAATTACTTTACAGATGACATGCTTCCTGCTAGGCATTTAGATGCTGTGGACAGGAAGAGACATGGACGGAGCTCCAGGGATACTGGGTGACATTTAAAAAAAAAAAAAATGAGTCAGGCCTTGCATCTGCCTAGGAAAGGAGCATGCACACAGGCAATAGAAATGTCATCAGTCAAGCTGAGGCACATATGAGGCATGTTTGAAGAGCTAGCAAAACTAAAGCAGGGGTGCAAGGCAGGAAGGGACCAAGTCAGAGGCATCTAGAATTTGTGTGCATTTGTTGTGAGGGGAGCTAGAGGCAAGAGTGGCCAAAAACTAAGCATCACATGAGGTAGCCTAAGCTTAAACTTGGACTGTGAGCTGTAAGAGTGCTGACAAGCTTTGTTCTGAGCCAATACCTGATCTGACTTAGGACTGGATGGACAGCCTGGGCTAGTGTGCAGAGAGTACACAGCCAGTTAGGAAGCTGCCAGACCCTCAGGCTGGTGAAGGCTTGCACCAGGGAGAGAAGATGAACAGGACTAGACCTAATCATAGGCCTGCAGGAAGTATAAGAGAGTCCATGATGAGTCTGAGGCTTTTCAGGTAAGAAGCTGGGTCTGGATTTCAGGGAAGAGGCCTTAATGAGGACCTACTCTTTTTGCTGGAAGCTATGAGAATGAAGACCGAATGGAGGCCAGAGAACAAGAATTCCTAAGAACTGCTCACTTGATATCAGCTCCCTGTTCTTGTACTTATATTGTATGTTGTATTATTCAATATACTTTGAATAATGTTAACCTAGAGACTAATGTTCTTGAAGAAAAGGTCTTTCCAAAGATTAAGCCTTGGTGTAGGCATAAGGTTATTGTGTAATTCAAAGGCTGATTTCCATACCCCTCCCCCCACATCTGATTGCAATCCTTGTTCTTAGAATCTCTTGTCTCGATGTTGTGTAAACACTTTCCCCAACTGTCCTCTTGTATGCCAATAAAGCAACTTACAGCCAATCACTAAGTAGAGGAGAGAATAGGGCTGAACTTCCTGCCAGTCAGGGGAGGAGGAGTTAAAGGAGGAAGCAGGGAAATCAGTGACAAGAGAAGTCCAAGAGATATCAGAACAGGAGTTGGAGCAAGAAAAGCTACAAAGTGCAAGTATCTCTGAGATGCACACTAGGAGGAAGTCAAACTAGCTTAAAGGGGTAAGAATAGAGTAGTAACTGCTCAGTTATTGTGCTGTAAAGCTTATTATTAAACAAATATAAAATAGTATCAATTATTTGTGTGATAGCTATGTTTAAGAGAGACTGAAAAGAAGAACACAGTTTTATAAAAATAACTTTAACAACTTGGGGCTCCCTAATACTGAGGGAGGGTCAGGCAATAAAAAGAACCTATACTCACATACATACACATACACACATATGAGCATACAAAATATACCACACAAATACACACATGTATATATGCACATACCACACACATTTACACATAGATACTCATATACATTTATACTTAAACATACAAACATATACACGGACCCACACATAACCACATACAGAGAAAACGACAGCATAGACCACACATACACATATGTATGTATATACAAACACACATACACATACACACACACATATATATATATACACACCATACACATACACACCTACAAATATATACAACCCCCTACACTAGTGGGTCATGACCCATACGGTGGCCAAACAACCCTTTCATATATATATATATATATATATATATATATATATATATATATATCAGATATCCTGCATATCTGATATTTACATTACAATTTGCAACACTAGCAAAACTGTAGTTATGAAGTAGCAATGAAAATAATTTTATGGGTGGGGTCACTACAACTATATCAAAGGGTCACAGCATTAGGAAGGTTGAGAACACTGTCCTACACGCACGTAAGCACACATATATACTCAAACACACATAGGCACATTCATGCACACACAAATACATGTATACACACAGAAAAAAACATACATACACATATACATACATGCACACAGGCCCACAAAAACACTAACTCACATATATACTCAGCATGAACACACACACATATAAACTTGTATACATACACACTCAACACAAAAACACACATATAAACTTGTACACATACACAAACACAAAACATGTACCCACAGAGACAAAGATAAACACACATACACAAATACTTGTATACAACACACACAAACACACAAATGCACACATAGAGACGTATACATTCACAAACACACACAGGCATGCTTTGATAAAACACAGAAGCACAAAGGCACAAACACAAAGGCACATACAAATTCACCTGTAAACACAAACACATGGTTAAGAGACGAAGGCATGTAAGTCACGGCATGGAAGTACCAGTGGAGAGAGTGGCTGTTGCAGTTTGGGTTTTGAAGGAAATAAGCGACAAAGGTAGGAGGCAATAGATAAAAACACAATGCTTTCAACTGTAAGTGCACAGTATTTGGTAATGACCAGGTCTGTGGTAAGACCTGGAAAATTAGGGGAAGGTGAAAAACCAGGAGGCCAGAGAACAGGACCATTTTTCCACAAGGATATTTAAAGTACCTATGATTGTAACAGGAATAGACCTGGTGAGAATGAAAGTTGGGGAAGATTATCTTTAAAAAAAAAAAAATCCTCACATGGAGCAGTGAGCAGTGTTTCCCAGTCTGTGGGTTGTGACCCCTTTGGGACTGGAATGACTCTTTCAAAGAACTAAGACCATCAGAAAACACAGATATTTACATTACAATTCACAACAGCGAAATTACTGTTATGAAGCAGCAACAAAAATAATTTTATGGTTGGGGGCCACCACAACACGAGGAACTGTCTTAAGGGAAGCAGCATTAGGAAAGTTGAGAACCACTGACATAGAGATTCAAAATAAGTTCCCTGTAAAAAAACTTTTTAACCCAAATAAGACAATTCTGTTTTAGTTAAAGATATTTTGTGGCATTAAATAACTTAACAGAAAATAAAAATGTTTATTTCGGTTGTTTCAGAGGACTCAGTCCACGGTTGCTGCCACACATGCACTTGGGCAGAGCCTCATGGCGGAGGTGCATGTGGCATGCGTGAGCAGTTTTTGTGTTTGTGTTCGTACGCCTCACAGCAGACAGCGAGCAGAGAGCACGAGAGAAAGGGGCCAGGTGTTAATTCCTTTTCTGTTGCTGTGATAAAACATCACGGCCAAGGCAATTTGTGGAACTAAGAGTTTGTTTTGGCTTATGGCTGCAGAGAATTGGAGTCCATAAAAGCAGAAATACTGGGGCAGAATGTGGCAGGCATCATGGTAGGAGCAGGAAGCTGAAAGTGAATCAGACAGGGCAAACTGGCAGTAGGAAAGGACGTGCGCTGGCTGAGCTCACTCCCAGTGACACCCTTCTTCAAAAAGGCCACACCTTCTAAGCCTCCCCAAACAGTACCACCAGCTGGGGAGCAAGTATCCAACACATAACCCTAAGGGGACATTTTCCTTCAAACCACCATAGGCCAGGAACAAAATACTGGATTTTGTCCCCAAAGACTGGATTCCTCCAGGTAGGTATATCTCCTCAAGTCTTCAGACACTTCCAAAATGGCACCTGACTAGGAACAAAGCATTTGTGTGGGTCTTTCATAGTCAAGCCATAAGAAACGCTAATCCATAAACATAATAACAAAGATACTAAGAGCTGCTAAAGCTGAATTCTTAATGTATTATAAAGCTTGTTATAAACATTTGCTAACTGTCACAAATCTTCAAGTTTATAGAATTATATTTTTTAAAAAGCCAAAAATTCTTCATCCTTCTTTGTATCTGTCCCCTTTTCAATGTGGCTTACAGTTTCCCTGATCAGAAGGCAGAGTCCTCCCTCTAAGCCCTCAGCATCCTCTGAACCCCAGAAGGCCTCCACCAGAAGCACAGGTGTGAACAGAAGCCTTCTCCTGTGGCCAATGTCCCAGAATGTCTACAGGCCTGAGAGGACTCGGAGCTAACAAATGGAAGAGCTTCTGTGTGGGAAAGGAAGGAGGACTTACGGGGCTGGGGATGGAGTCAGGATCCAGCTTCCTCTGGAGCTGTGGTGGTGGCCCGGCCATCTGTGCAGGACCTCCAGGGAAGCCTCCTGGGTAAGACATCTGTGCACCTCCCATCTGAGGTCCATAGCTGGGTGCTTGAAGAAAAAAAAAAAAAGAAAAGAAAAGAAAAAAATGACCATCTCCACAACCAGGTGGAACACTCACTGACAATATCACTTTGTTGAATCAAGCATGCTGAAAAGTTCGTTTTGTTAAATAAAGTGGAAGACTAAAAATGAGTTCCTATACTTCCTCTTCTGACACTATCCAGAGACGGCTGGCTCTTCACAGCTGACACAGAAACAAGCCTGATTTCCAGCTCAGGACACAGCATCCCCAGGTGACCCACACCTTGGCCTCACCCTGTCTGCCTTACCCTGCTGTGGAGGGTAGCCAGCACCCAGGGTCTGGCCTGGTGGAGGTGAGGGCTGATACTGGGCATTCAGAGGAGTAGGCCCAGGAAGCCCATCCTGCCTGTGAGTTGGTGCAGACATAGGAGGGGCACCAGGGCCGTTCAGGGTGGAGGGGGGTGGTGGCGGAACCGGAGGTCCTGGCTGCAGGATAGATGGCTGTGCAGGTTGTGGAGGCCCCTGGAAGACGCCCGCTGATTGAGGGCCAGGGGGGCCCTGGCTCTGGGGGGCCATGCCCACACCTGTGGGAGAGAAAAGAGCGTGGCTCAGGGACACTTTTATCAGCTCTGATGCCTACTGAGCACATGACAGACACATTCATTTACCATACACAAAGCAAGAATACATGCTTATGAGTTATATATTTTTATATATATATATATTATGGCCACAAATTATCTCTCAGAAAGTGACATAAATATTACTTGAGGACTTTTTTTTTTTTTTTTTTTTTTTTTTTTTTTTACAAACACAAAGTTTAAGACGAGTATAAAACCAACACCTCTAGTTTTAGTGCTGGGTACTAAACTCCAGTCTACAGCAAGAACAGCAAGTGCTCTTAACCCCTGAGCCGTCTCTTCAGTCCCCAATGAGAGACTTAATGGAATAAATTTTGACTTCAATGCGTTAACTTACATGATCCATGCACCAATTTAAAAACACCTCTATCTCATATAAAAACCTTGAAAAATAATATAAAAGAAAAATGGATAGAGCAAGCATCATTCGGATAATTTATGCCTTCAATAAATTATTTGCATTCTGAGCCTGACTTGGCCAGGTGAGTAAGAATCAGGTAGAAATAACCAGAGAGAAGGTGGGACCTGTGAAACTTAGTTGCCTCCTCAGTCAGTCATTTGGAAACTGGCAAAAAGATCAGAAATATTCTGGGCAACTTTTATCACTGCTTCCAGCACACTGGGTGTAAGCAGAACGTGCATATGCTGGCTGGCTTAACATCAGCTCCACAGAGTCCTTTTAGAAGAGGGAACCTCGGCTGAGAAAATTACCCCACCAGACTGCCCTGTGTTTCTTGATTGGTGATTGATGTGGGAGCACCAAGCTCACCGGGCACGGTGCACTCCTAGGCAGATGTTCCTGAATTCTATCAGAAATTAGGCTGAGCAAACCGCCGAGAAGCAAGCCAGGAAAGTGGCACTCCTCCATGGTTTCTGCACCAGTCCCTACCTCCAGGTTCCTGCCTCCAAGTTTTTGCTCTGACTTCCCTGGGTGAATGACTACAAGGTGTAAGACAAAATAAACTCTTTCCTCCCCAAGTTGCTTTTAGTCATCGTGTTTTATTACAGCAATAGAATACCTAACTAAGACATGAATTGATAGCATGTTATAGGGAATGAGGATCATAGACCTGACCTTGTGTTTCTTGGAGGATTGTTACAGCATTTGAATTTAAGGTTGAAAAAGTCCTTGAATAATCAGAGATCAGTGGATTAGTCTGTTAGAACTTAGAAGACAATGGAGCTTAGAAGACAATGGAGGCCTACCTTGTGAAGTTTCAGAGGAAAGCAAAGACTCTACCAGAACCATCTGGGTGATACTTCCATGTTAAGAACCCATGGTATGAGCTGGAGCTGAAAAACTGGCTGTAATTAACAAGAGACCAGAACCACTTTGCTTTGCTTTGAAAATGGGTGCTGGTCAGCTGGGGCCAGAGAACCAGCTGTGATTAAGAAGAACCTGGTATCACTGAGGCAGAATCTTCTGGGGAGATCTTCCTCGGGGTCAGCACATGAAGATTGTGGTCCAGAGGAAACCATGGCTGTATCCTGTGCTGGTAGCCGAACTTGATGATATGTAAAAGGTTCTCAGGTGCCACTGGTTTTGAAGGCATGAAGGAATCATGAAGAGCAAATGGGGTCTGGCACAAGAAGAGGCCAGGAAAGGACACTGATCAAGGACACTGAAGTTGAAGCCCCAGGACTAAAGGAGTTATGGAGAAAGGTTGAGGTTCAGCACCATGTGAGAGGGCCAGAGTCCTTGAGGAGAGCCCAGGAGAACCTACTTGTGAAAATCCAGCCCGGCAGCAGTAATGAGACCCCAGCATTTTGGAGATGCAAGCACCAAGGTCCTCTGCATCAACAGGAACTGATATGTTCCTGCCGTGAGGCCCTGGCCTGACTTCCCTCAGTGATGGGCAGATGCTTGGAAGTGTAGGCTGAAATAAACCCTTTCTTCCCAGAATTGCTTTTGGTCATTACATTTTATCAAAGCAATAAAAAGCTAAGGGAGGGCGTGCCTCTTAAAGCAGTGGCTCTCAACCTTCAAATACTGCAACGCTTGATACAGTTACTTCCTCGAGTGGTAGTGACCCCCAACCTTACAATTATTTTCATTTCTACTTCATAACGGAAATTTTGCTACTGTTACGAGTCATGATGAAAATATATGATACGCAAATGGTCTTAGGTGACCCCTGTGAAAGGGTTGTTCAACCTCCAAAGGGGTCATGACCCACAGGTTGAGAACCACTGCCTTAAATTATAACACGTAGCCATGCTGCTACTAGAATCTGCATTCTTGCTTTCTCCTCTTTTCTGGTTTGTGGCATCAGAGGCTTGATTATTCCAACGACCTAACCACACAATTAAAATTCACTGTGAGATGCAGAAAAATGAAAATAGATCTATATTTATCACCCTGCACAAAACTAAAGTCCAAGTGGATCAAAGACCTCAACATAAAACCAGATACTCTAAATCTGTTAGAAGAAAAAGTGGGGAACAGCCTAGAACTCATTGGCACAGGAGACAACTTCCTGAACAGAACACCAACAGCACAGGCTCTAAGAGCAACAATCAATAAATGGGACCTCATGAAACTGAAAAGCTTCTGTAAAGCAAAGGACACTGTCATCAAAACAAAACGCCTGCCTACAGATTGGGAAAGAATCTTCACTAACCCTTTATTTGACAGAGACTAATATCAAGTATATACAAAGAACTAAAGAAGCTGAAAAGCAGCAAACCAAGTAATCCACTTAAAAAATGGGGAACAGAGCTAAACAGAGAATTCTCTGTAGAGGAATATCGAATGGCAGAGAAACACTTAAAGAAATGCTCATCCTCATTAGCCATCAGGGAAATGCAAATCAAAACGACCCTGAGATATCACCTTACACCCATCAGAATGGCCAAAATGAAAAACTCAAGGGACAACACATGCTGGAGAGGTTGTGGAGAAAGGGGAACCCTCCTCCACTGCTGGTGGGAATGTAAACTGATAAAACCACTCTGGAAATCTATCTGGCGCTTTCTAAGACAATTAGGAATAGTGCTTCCTCAAGACCCAGCTATACCACTGCTAGGTATATACCCAAAGTTTGCTCAAGTACACAAAAGAGATATTTGCTCAACCATGTTTATAGCTGCTTTATTTGTAATAGCCAGAACCTGGAAACAACCCAGATGTCCATCAATGGAGGAATGGGTACAGAAATTGTGGTATTATTACACAATGGAATACTACTCAGCAATCAAAAAGGAGGAAATCATGAAATTTGCAGGCAAATGGTGGGACCTAGAAAAGATCATCCTGAGTGAAATATCCCAGAAGGAGAAAGACAAACACGGTATATACTCACTTATATAGACCTATAAGATATGATAAACATAATGAAATCTATACACCTAAAAAAGATAATCAAGAGAGCAGACATGGGGTATGATTATCAATCCTCGTTTTGAAAGACAGATGGGATGCACATTAAACATTGACAGGAGTCTACTGAGCGCATTTAAAAAACTCTAACTAGCAGTGTTTTCAAAGCAAAGACTCATGACCAAACCTTTGGCAGAGTACAGGGAATCATAAGAAAGAAGGGGAGTTAGTATGATGAGGAAAGGATAGGAGTTCCACAAGGACCAAACATATCTGGGCACAGGGTCTTTTCTGAGACTGACATGCAACCAAGGACCATGTATGAATGTAACCTAGAACCTCTGCTCAGATGTAGCCTGTGGTAACTCAGCAACCAATTGGTTTCCCATAGTGAGGGGAACAAGGACTATTTCTAACAGGAACTCAATGACTGGCTCTTTGGCCTCCCCACCCCCCAAGGGAGGAGCAGTCCTGTTAGGCCACAGAGGAGAGCTTTGCAGCCAGTCCTGAAGATACCTGATAAAACAGGATCGGATGAATGGGGAGGAGGTTCCCCCTATCAGTGGACTTGGCAAGGGGCACGGTGGAGATGAGGGAGGGAGGGAGGGACTGGGAGGGAATGAGGGATCGGGACACGGCTGGGATACAGAGTTAATAAAATGTAACTGATAAGAAAAAAATAAAATTAAAAAAAATAAAATAAAATAAAAAAAATTCACTGTGAGACAATAAGCATTTTATCTTAAATTTGGAGGACTCCTATAAAACAATACAATTTTAAAACTACCCTCACAGTTCCTCCAATAATTACACGGTGTAATATTCACTTGTGAAGTCAGCATTTTTGGTTTTTTTTTTTTTTATATTGTTTTAGCAACGGATGTACAGCGTGCTGAGGGTTCTTCAATTATATTGAACTAGCGGCAACATGCGAAAACTAACCAGAGCCATACACAGGATCAATAGTGTACATAAAAACGCACAAGGTAGCATTTTAATATGTCATGCCAGAGTTATGTGTATGTTAAAATAGAAGAAACGATGAGGGTGGCCTAGCATGTTTGCAGTTCTGGTTTTAACCCCAGCAGCACAAAGAACACTGAATGAGCACCATGAATGAACACTTACCAAGGTTGTTGATCTGCATGGAGCTGAACTGACCACCCAGCTGGGTGACAGAGGAAGTGGACCCAGGACCTGGGTAAGATGACTGTGGCAGGGGCTGGCCTGATGCATAAGAGGGTGCCACGTTATTGACAGGTGGGGGTCCTGGAAATCTAAGAGACAAAAGGTATTGTTAGGATCACAGAGTTTCTTAAGCAAGTGAAACACAAAATAGTTAATGTATTCTAAAACAAAAAAAAAATTTTTTTTCTTTATGTGGTAGGAAAAACGAATGATAATGTGCATCATATATTTAAGCTTGATATGATCTCAAAATAACCCACATACAGCACCCCACACCTCCAACTCACATGTTTTCTATGCCAAGGTAAAGAAAAGCTTCTAACATGACCACAGCCAGCTTGGGAAATCAGTTTGGAAACGTGAGCCCAATGCCACTTCACAAACACTAAACTGATCAGTAATAATAAAAACAATAAAACCAAGAACACTTGGTCTATGGTTGTGTTTTTGTGATCATTCTGTTTATCATTCAGACCGAGTTTTTAAACAAAATGGCGCTTGTGCTACATTCTGGGGTCAGCAGGGCACTCCCTACAAAATGGTATATGTCATTACTTTGCAGCACTGCAGTAAATTTGGAGTAGATTGTTTGCTTTTTTAATTTTTTTCATGCTTTTTCTCTGCCGCAGTTTGAAACAATGTCTGTTGTGGGTCCCTGTCACTGTTTTGATGTCAACAATGGCTATCACGGAGCAGTGGGCCCATCCCGGTGATACAACGCAGGAAGCTAACAAATGCCTTGGAGTCACTGTGACTCTTTTCTTGCTTGAGTACAAATTAAGGCTTCCAAAATTGCATTTTCAACTGATTTCAACGGTTTTATTTGCAACAAGAGCCTATTTTCTTTGTTACTGTATCCTGACTTCCATCCCTCATTGGGAGGCTAGGAGCCATGAGAGGGGGTAGCTCACAAGAAATCCACAGCTCATCTCTAACTCTGAGGACAGCGTCTTGTGGGTCTCAGGAGCCCACTTTCTGAAGGAGGGCTCTACCTTGATCTTGTCATTTGTCTTCATATTTTCCAAATCTAATAATTATTTTCAACAAACAAACAAAAGCCCTCAAGCCATCATTTCAAGTGCATCCAGGAGTCTTTCCAGAATGATGTCACACACTTTGTCCTAAGTAAAGAAGGTCAGAGTGCTTATCACAAATGCCTCACAATACAAGCACGTGATACAAGCAGACAATTTGCTAAAGCAGAGTTGATACTGTTTTAATCCCAGAATATTTCCAAGAAAAATGCCTCTCTGCCAAAAATGTTAGAAGAGCCAAGATAATTAGATTGAGTACCCTTCAATTTAAATATTTTCTTTTGGGAAAGGGAATGAAGAAAGAAAGAAGATATAAAAGTTAATTAAAAGTTGTATTACACTGTGTGTATTGCGTGCGTACACACACGGCACAGTGCAGGGTTAGAGATCAAGGGACAATTTGCAGAAGTTTCTCCTTCCATCATGCAAACCCAGATTGCATGGTTTGGTGGGAACTGTCTTTAATCACTGAGCCCTCTCGGCCCAAAAGTCGACTCTGAGGGTAAGTTTTCTTTGTTTCTCTATTTATTCCATAATACTAGCTGTGCAACATGCACCATGAAATACGATTCTTATCTTGTGTTGTCAAGTGATTTAAAGATTTTCCCAAAGATCTGACTAGTGAATTCACTGCTACATAAAAAGAAATATTTTGTCTTTGCTTTGTCACAAAATGATACTTCATTCCTTGAAGCTCACTGGAATTGAGACAGGGAGTAACCATCTGTGAATAACTAAAGTGCATTACAGAGTTTGGACATGAGGAAATTATTTCATTGTTTGAGACCCAAAAAAATATTTGCAGAAGTGTTTGACAAAAGATTTTTTTTAATATAAAATTCTACGGCTTGCTTTTTTTTTTTTTTTTTTTTTTTTTTCAAATTTTTTTAAAAAAAATTTTTTTTTAATATAAAATTTTACGGCTTTTTTTTTTTTTTTTTTTTTTTTGGTAGCCATTTCAGTTAGAACAAAGTATCTTTCAAATAGAAATTGTGACATAAGTGTCTCTGGGTTTTTGTTTTTCTTTTGTTTTTTAATCTTCCAGGCTGGAGAGCTAGCAGGTTAAGAACACCTGCTGCTTTCTCAGAGGACCACAGTTTGATTCTTAGCATTCACATCCGGTGGTTCACAAGTTCCAGAAACTCCAGCTAGAGGAGATCCGATGACTTCTTCTGGCCTCTGCTGGAACCCATGTACACACAGATACACACATAAATAAATATTTTAAAATTTAAAAAAAGGTTAAGTTAAAAAAAAAACTATGAATTCCTACTTACTGTTCACTCCCTATGCACTGGGAGTTAGGTTTCAAATTTTATAAATAAATCATCTCTTTTGACAGGCTTAAACATTCTTATTCTTAAACAGATTGGGTTTTTAAATGTAACATCTGTTTTAAAATTATTTAGAATGGAATGAAATACATAGCAAAGTTATTATAAACAAAAGAGGGAAAAAATCAGGACGCTTGAAACATCCATCTCATTACTCTCCCACTGTACGCTGTGGGGCTAAGGTAGAAAAGAAACTCACCGCTGGAGCCATCAGAAGCCCGCCTCTTCCTCCCAGGGCTTCTGTGAAGCAGATGGAAGAGATAAACCTCTTCCTACTACAACACACCGTGGTTAAAAATTACAAACCAGAGTTATATCTGGGGGCCAAGATTCTACTAGCTCACTGATTCATTTGCTATCAGAAAAGAACAGAGCTACCACCAAAGCACCCACTTTAAAAAGTCAGATAATTACCAAGACATTAAAAAAAAAAGTTTCACTCTAATCTTAAACCTCGGTACAGTTGATATACTTTTCTATTTAAGTACTCTCCATTTTTAAGTTGGGAATAAATGGGTCAAGAAGGGAGCCCTCTGTTAAAGTTTGTTGATATTTAGAGATAAGGTGCAAATATGATTTGAATATGTCCCATCCATAATTCTAGTGTTGCCATGTGACAGTATCCAGAGGCCACAGAGGAGCTCATCTAGTAAATGGGATGTGGTCTCCTTCCCAAGGCAAGTTGGGGGAACACTTGGTTCTTCCTCCAGTACTCAAGGCACTGTGGGGTACAACCTTCATCAGATAGCAAGACTGCTGGGGCCTCCAGCTTGGACTCTGCAGTCTCCAAACTGGTGAGAAATAAATGACTGAATGCTTTTCAGAATGCCCAGTATCAGATTTTGGCTGCAGTGGCACAAAACAGACTAGAGAAGCAAATTATTCAAGATCTGATTGAAACAAAATCTGCATTTTAAACATTAATCCTGTAGAGGGGAGAAAAAAAATCAAATCCTATAATTTCCATATTGAAAAACACTAAAGAGGGGCTGGAGAGACAGCTCAGTGGTTAGATGGGCGAGTTGCTCTTCCAGAGGACCCAGGTTTGGCTCCCAGCACCCACGTGACCATAACCACCACCCATACACACAAAACAAACAAACAAACAAACAAATAAAAGACACTAAATAGAGGATGGGGATTTAGCCCGCTGGAAGAACACCTCCGTAGCATGTGCAAGGCCAAGGATTTAACCCCCCAGCACCACAAACAGGCAAACAAAGCCTGTTTTATTGTGATCACTCTTCTGTTTACCTGGGTCCAGTTTCTCAGTAGCTTCTCCTAAATTCAGTTTAGGAAGCTGGGTCTGCTTCATCCTCTAACTCACTATTTCTTGGTCAAAATAGATGGATTTCAACTGACTAGCTGTCACTTTCCCTTATGATGAGAACACTGACTTCTTAGAGTATGAAATTGAACAGATCAATCCTGCCTAGCGTTGCCTTATGTAGAAAACTTCAGAAATTCTCGCAAGCGTTAAGAGAAACGTGACCAAAAGAACAAATGGCTAGGTATGAGTTTCAGATTTTATCACATAATTCTCTTGAAATAACAGGTCTTTAAGATTTACTTTTTATTTTTTAAGATTTATTATTATTATTAATCGTGTGTGTATTGAGGAGAGGATGCGCACGTGAATGCAAGCGCCCACAGAGGTCAGAGGTGGGAGATCCCCCTGGAGCTGGGGTTACAGGCAGTCACAAGCCACCTGATGCGGGTGCTGGGAATCAAACTCAGGTCCTCAAGAAGAGCAGTATGTGCTCTTAACCACTGAGCCATCTCTCCAGCCTTATTTGCCTTTATGTGTGGGAAGGTTTTTCCTGCACATGTGTATGCCCCGTGCCTGTGGAGATAAGAAGAGTGTTAGATGCCTAGACCTGGAGCTACAGAGCGCAGTAAGCAACCTGTGTGCGCTGGAAACCACACCTAGCTCCCCAGCAAGAGCAACGAGTCCTTTTTAACAACCGAGAAATCCCTCCAGCCCTGGCCCAAAATATCACCAATGTAAAAAAAAAAAATCATATACCTATTCAATATTTCAATCAACATGGTCGCTCTGAGTTTGAATTGGCAGAAGCTCTGTGCCTGTGACTGAAACTCTATGTAAGAATGAGGTGCTGTCGCCCACAAACACGGATGACGCACAGTCAGCTGTGAGGACTCGTGCCTCAACTCCCAGCACTAGGGAGGGTGAGACACGAGAATCATCACCTACAGGCCAGCTCTTACACAATAACTTCAAAAGGAAAAAGAAAGTTAATTTACACCTAGCAATTGGCTTTTTACTTAACTGTGTGTGTATGTGTATATATACATAATTAAATCATACAATATAATATATAACATATTATATATACAGTTAAGTAAACAATTATATGTATATAAAATATATGTGTATATATGTATATAAAATATGTACGTATATAAAATAATAGGGGAGGTGGTTTGAATAAGAATGCCCCCCATCAGTCTTCCTTTGGATCCCCTTCCCCTAACTGGGCTGCCTTGTCTGGCCTCAGTGGAAGAGGACACTCCTAGTTCTACAGTGACATAAGAGGTGCCAGGGTGGGTTGGTACCCATGGGGGACCTCCACATTCTCTGAGATGGAGAGGGGAGAATTGGGGGGAAGAGTTGTGAGGGGAGACTCGGAGGAGAGGACAGGGGCTGCAATTTATTTACTTCAGGATGTGAAGTAAATAAATTAATAATTAAAAAAAAAG